ATCATTGACAAGTTACAGTTCTCAAAAACTATTAAAAAATAATTAAGATTTTATAAGACTTTTACAGATGGCTTATAATTATGCATGTAAAAGATTTTTAAAAAGAAAAATGGGGGTCAATGGGCAAAATTTTTTAAGGCATTCAAATAGATAAAACCAGAGGATTCTGAAAATCTGACAAAAATTCCAAAACATGACAAGCGAACTTCCTTAAAGATTTTATGTTCATTCGTTGAATCAAATAAACTGATTTAGAATGCCCTGCTGAAACAACGTTGAAGGACAACTGAGAATGAACAGAAACATCACTACATGTGTACATGTATATATCTTTCTCCAGTGAGTCAAATACATGTACATGTACATGTATAACGATTATTTAAATGTAAAATATTGCTGTATTTATCAAATTTGTTCTATTTCTGTTAAGCCTTAAGAAATAAATAGCAATTGTCTCAGGGCTGAAATCTTATTGATATACACATGTATATATATAACTGTTAATGTTTCTGACTTGAAACATCATTCCACTTATAAATGAAAGTCAACCTTCAACATCAGTCAAAGGTTCTTTATTCATAAAGAAAAAGAGGAGGCCTTGAGGGGGATAAACAGCTGCTAATCCAAGGATATCTTTGTTATGTACTCGTGTAACAGTGGTTTGATTCCACAGTGTACTTGATCCGGAGGATGAAAATTCCTAGTGTTTTTTATCCACCAACAAAAAACCACTAAGTTTTTTAATCCGGGTCCAGTGTAAAATTTCCACCACTCATCATAAGATTCTACAGATGATTTTTTGAAGGGGAAATCTGAGACTACATACAGTAGTCTCAGGGGAAATATATAAAAAAAATGGGGCTTGGTATTTTTTTTTTAGGGGGGGTGGGGGTGGGGGTATTTGAATTAACTAAAACTTGCATAAAAAATTGACAAAGTAAACTAGCGTTTTACATCCAAGGAATGTTCACAGTAGTGTTTTTGAACAATGCAGGAATGATTACACTAGTGCTTTTCTACAAGGAATGATTACACTAGTGATTTTGTTCCAGGGCAGGAGTGATTGCACTAGTTATTTTGAACCTCATTTTTTGTATACAGATAATCCATTCCATCGTGTGTTTTGATTACAAATACGTCCTTTTTTGCTCTTATTCTTCTTTTTTTCATTTTCACTTGAATCTTCAGGATATTTTTGCAATTTTAAGTACTGGAGAATTGTTTCATATTCCTTCTCATCCATTTCAGAAGTTAGTGCAAAAACCCCGTCAAATTATATTTTATGTTATACGACTTTTAATACTATATCATAAAATAGCGCTAGATTGATTTAGATTAATTAAACTGGTTCCTTGAAAATTATTCTAATTTTAACCTATTAATTTATGTAAACAATAAACCGGTATAATATAAACATAAACTGTTATAACAGAGATATGTCTCGCTTTTTTGTAATTTCCATAATGCAAATGTTGAATCTAAAATAGCAACACTTTCACATGTAAGTTTTGCAAATATTCAAAGTCAATAAACCATGACTGAAGGTAAATGGCTAAACAATCTCCTAGGAAATGAGATGTGCCAATGGTAATACAACTGCATACCAAATACCATTGACTTATCATAAGTAGTTCTCTTTAAACAAACCTAAACACAAACTAATACATGTAAACTAAGCAAAATTTCAAAGTCAATTAACCATAACTGAAGGAGTGGGGTCAAATAATCTCCAGGGTAATGAGATTTGCCAATGCTAATACAACTGCATACCAAATATCATTGACCTACCATTCGTGGTTCCCAATAAACCGACTTAATCACAAACTAATACATGAAAACTAAGCAAAAGTTTCACAGTCAATAGACCATGACTGGGGGGTGGGGCCAAATAATCTCTAGGGAAATGAGACATGCCAATGCTTATACATCTGCATACCAATTATCATTAACTTACCACTAGTGGTTCCCCATAAACTGACCTAATCACAAACTAATACATGAAAACTAAGCAAAAATTTCAAAGTCAATAGACCATGACTGAGGGGGCGGGGTCAAATAATCTCCATGGAAATGAGATATGCCAATGCTTATACAACTGCATACCAATTATCATTAACTTACCACTAGTGGTTCCCCATAAACTGACCTAATCACAAACTAATACATGAAAACTAAGCATAAATTTCAAAGTCAATAGACCATAACTGATGGGGCAGGGCCAAATAATCTCCATGGTAATTAGATGTGCCAATACTAATACAACTGCATACCAAAAATCTTTGACTTACCACTAGTGGTTCACCATAAACTAGACCTAATCACAAACTAATACATTGTTGACGCCGCCGCCGGAAACAGCATACCTATGTCTCGCTTTTTGACTCCGTCAAGCTAGTCAAAAACAACGATATCAAGATCGACGCTTTCACACTATTTACATCCAATATTCTCTAGTGAAAAACAGTTCCCTGGAATAAATACATGGTGGAATGAAATTACGCTTACACTTACTGTGTGAAATTCTGCAACTCTGTTCTGTGCTAGCAAACAAAGTAAATTCAGGCCTAATAGTTGATACTTATATGTTGATTCTGGTAAATTTTCCCTGAAAAATAAACATGTTCCTTTGAAAATGATCTTATTATATAGTCATCAAGTCAAAAGAAGATGATTTACAGGGTTCAATATTTAAGGATGTTCAATTGCATGGACAAGTTTATGTCATTCTATGACTAAGCTGCAGTGAAATTGTCCGATTGGCAAGTAAAAAAATAAATGTTGCAAACATGGGAAAATATTCAATATTTAGGCCTCAATTAATTCTCTTTTTTTCAATTAATGGCCCGAGACCACAATTAATGACCCCGCTTTTCGTTGTCCACAAATATAGTTCCTTGTTATTATAGTGTCTTTTTTCTTTATATTTATTCTCTGCCTTCCTGATTCATTTCTTAGTTTTTTATAGGGTGGAAATGAAAGAAGAGAGTTGAAATAAATTTTTTGATGCATTATTTAACTATTCAGTAGTGGGAATGAGTGATTAGGCCAGTTGCAAAAGGTAACATTTATAGTTTTTGGAACATCTCTTGACTTGTCCATACCAGTATGGATGTGTTTTGGCTAAATTAATGACCTGCATAGAAGGGATTTTCCTAAAAGTTGGATATAATGTGAGACTTGTACTGTACATTACACATACCAAAAATTTTGCAAATTTTTGCAGGTTAATTTTTTTTAATGTGAAAAAACGTTATAAAGATATGATAGGGAAATTAACTGGGGTCTGTGGCCTAATCAACCTCTAAATCAACCCTGACAATATCGTCAAATTCATTGATTTTTACTTTTTAGCAGATTGTTTACTTTTCCTTTCTAACTGAATTGGCAAATCAGTTATTGATGCACATTTTGATGGACCAATCATGTGAGACCTAGCTAGCTAAGTTAATTGTTTTAGGGAAACTATTAAAAAATGGGAGACACAAGATTTTAAAAGCGAGATCCCCTTAATATTATCAAATTTTAATTCTGACAAATGAGAATAAAGGAAAGAAAAAGTAGAGGCTCTAAAGAGCCTGTGTCGTTCACCTGAATTGTCAATGATGGCCCAGACATGAAAAATATGAAACAATTCAATTGAGAAAACTAACGGACTAATTTATAACAAAACAATTTACGAAAAACAAATATGACAGACATGAACCAAGGACAACCACTGAACTACTGGCTCCTGACTTGGGACAGGCATATTTACATATTATAGTCCAATATCCAAAATCTAAATACATGGTTAGAATCAGCATATCAAAGAACCCCAAGAATAAAATTTTTGATGAAAGCAAACAAATTTTAACTTTATTGTTACCCTTAATTTGGACTCAATGTGGACCAATTTGTTAACGGGGCCCAAAAAAAAAAAATCTAAATACATGTTTAGATTCATCATATTTAAGAAACCCTTGAATTCAATTTTTGTTAAAATCAAACAAAGTTTAATTTTGGACCCTTTGGACCTTAATGTGGACCAATTTGAAAACAGGCCCGACAAACAAAAATTCTAAAAGCAAGGTTAAATTTTGCATATCAAAGAACCCTAATCATTCAATTTTAATTTTAATCAAACTAAGTTTAATTTTGAACCCTTTGGACCTTAATGTGGACCAATTCAAAAAGGGAGCCCAAAATCTAAAATCTAAATACACATTTGGATTCAGTATATTATAGAACCCCAAGAATTCAAGACTTTGAATTAAACTACATTGAAATTGGTCAAGAAATAAACAATTTATACAAAGTTTTAGAAAAATATTGTTTTTGGCCCCTTTTCCTTAAACGGTTAGGGCCATAAGTTGATAACCCCCAAAATCAATCCCAACCTTTCTTTTTTGGTATGAAATCCTAGTTTTTGGCCCCTTTTTCCTAAACAGTTTAGGCCATAACCCCCATTTATTAACAAGAGGCTCTCAAGAGCCTGAATCGCTCACCTGTATTTCAGAGGAGAAGATTTTTAAATGTTAGCAAACTTGATGAACAAATTGTGTAAAATTGTATTTAAAGGGCAATAACTCCTTAAGGGGTCAATTGACAATTTTGGTCATATTAACTTTTTTGTAGATCTTACTTTCCTGAACATTATTGCTGCTTACAGTTTATATATATCTATAATAATATTAGAAATAAAAACAAATAAAGTGCTCCGATGGGGCGCAGCTTGATACGACCGTAGAGGTCGAACCCTGAACAGTTGGGGCAAGTATGGACACAACATTCAAGCTTGATACAGCACTGAATTTGGATTGTGATTAAATATTTGACACAGCAAAGGTTTCTGACACAGAATGAATGTGGTCTAAGAACTTAAAATTTTTTAATTTACCTATTCAAACCATATCATTAGTATTTGCTTTTATATATAAATCAGAAATAACCAATCTAAAATGGAAAATTTTAAAGAAAAAAAGGAAAAAAATAATCCCCCCCCAAATTTTTTGAACCCCCTTATGATTCATCACAACCAAACTCAATCCCAGCCTTCCCTTTGTGGTATGGTACCTTGTAGTACAATTTCATAAAGATCCATACACTTACACACAAGTTATTGTCCTGAAACTAGAAAAATGCTTGTTTTTTTGCCCCTAATTCCTAAAATTTTAAGGCAATTACCCCCAAAATCAATCCCAGCCTTCCCTTTGTGGTATGGTACCTCGCAGTACAATTTCAGAGAGATCCATACACTTGAACACAAGTTATTGTCTGGAAACTAGAAAAATGCTTATTTTTGACCCCTTTTGGCCCCTTATTCCTAAACATTTTGGGCAATTACCCCCAAACTCAATTCCAGCTTTCCCTTTGTGATATGAAACCTTGTAGTACAATTTCAGAAAGATCCATACACTTACACACAAATTATTGTCTGAAAACTAGAAAAATGCTTATTTTAGCCCCTTATTCCTAAACGTTTTGGGCAATTACCCCCAAACTCAATTCCAGCTTTCCCTTTGTGATATGGAACCTTGTAGTACAATTTCAGAAAGATCCATACACTTACACACAAGTTATTGTCATGAAACTAGAAAAATGCTTGTTTTTTGCCCCTTTTTTGGCCCCTTATTCCTAAAATTTGGAGGCAATTACCCTCAAAATCAATCCCAGCATTCCCTTTGTGATATGGAACCTTGTGGAACAATGTCAGAGAGATCCATACACTTGAACACAAGTTATTGTCTGGAAACTAGAAAAATGCTTATTTTTTACCCCTTTTGGCCCCTTATTCCTAAACATTTTGGGCAATTACCCCCAAACTCAATTCCAGCTTTCCCTTTGTGATATGAAACCTTGTAGTACAATTTCAGAAAGATCCATACACTTACACACAAATTATTGTCTGAAAACTAGAAAAAATGCTTATTTTAGCCCCTTATTCCTAAAGGTTTTGGGCAATTACCCCCAAACTCAATTCCAGCTTTCCCTTTGTGATATGGAACCTTGTAGTACAATTTCAGAAAGATCCATACACTTACACACAAGTTATTGTCATGAAACTAGAAAAATGCTTGTTTTTTGCCCCTTTTTTGGCCCCTCATTCCTAAAATTTGGAGGCAATTACCCTCAAAATCAATCCCAGCATTCCCTTTGTGATATGGAACCTTGTGGTACAATGTCAGAGAGATCCATACACTAACACACAAGTTATGTCTGGAAGTTACAAAAATGCTAATTTTTGGCCCCTTTATCTTTAACTGTTTGTACCATAACCCCCAAAATCGATCCCAACCTTCCTTTTGTGGTATTGAACCTTATGGTAAAATTTCATAGAGATCCATTCACTTAAACTAAAGTTAGAGTGCGAAAACCAATGTGTCTTCGGACGACGAAGACGACGCCAACGTCATACCAATATACGACCGCAAAATTTTTGCGGTCGTATAAAAATGTGGATAGTGTCCACATGTGGACACAGATGATGCCCCCGCTTGCATAGCATATAGTTATAAAGGGACATACATTGTAACTGAAGAACGGTAAAAGTGACGGTACCCAAATTTGATCTGAGTTTTGTGGTAATAAGCATTGTGTGTAAGTCTCATAACATTTGGTTGAGGCTAACTTTAGTAGAGAACAGAAACTAATAAATTGCTTCGCCGAGCGCAGCTGGATACGACCGCAGAGGTCCAACCCTGAATAGTTGGGCCAAAAGTGGACGCAATATTCGCACTTGATACAGGTCTGAATTTGGATCGTAATTAAATATTTGACACATAAAAGTTTTCTGACACAGAATAACTGTAGTCAAAGAACTTAGAATTGGTTATATGATTTGAATTGCTTTTGTGCATTTTGAGTCATTTCTAGAAGATTGAAAATTCAATTTCATTCTCTTCTCCACTTAAATTCTATGTAGGCAAAATACAAGATTTGCACATTTAAGGATACCTTGTTAATTTCCAAGCATTATTTCAATAATCCAAACTTTGAAAAAAATGCATTTTATTGCAGTGTTTATGTGAATTGTAAATGAAATTGCTATATATGCAATCATATTGCTAAATAAACACCCTACAGGGTATTGTCATTAACATTTTTTGAAATGAAAAGGCTGATTATTGTTATATAAACATATCTGTGTTCTAATCTGAATAATAACTTATTAATTAGTTATGTACATTTGTACATATAAATTATTTCAAAGTAATTTTTCTTACATGTAATTGTTAATTCTTAATATTAGTTATATACATTTGAAAAAAATGATTTTTTTTGGCTTTATGTTAACACTTTGACTAATCCAGACAAAAGGGTGATTTTATAGATTTTTAGGAGAATTATTGAGAAAAGCTTTTTCCATTGATATTTGTCTAATGTGTCTTCATGTACACTTGTCTCAGAGTTGCTAGAATATTACTTTCTCAAATGTATACACTTGTACATGTATGTATTATATGACTCTCAAACAAGTAAACTTATTTATAAACCAAAATATGTTTATAAATATCTTAAATGTATTGCATTTGTGTTTGATTACTGAATCTTCTTTAAAATTCAGGCCAGTATCTAATATTACCCAGTATTGCCCAGTATTAGCCAGTAAAACCCTGGTTTTCCCAGTATTTCCCACTGGGCTGGGCAATACTCATAAAACCCGGGTTTTTGCCAACCCTGTCTGGAAACTAGAAAAATGCTTGTTTTTGGCCCCTTTTTGGCCCTTAATTCCTAAACTGTTGGCCTCCATAACCCCTTTAAATGAATCCCAACCTTCTACTTGTGGTATTAAACATTGTGGTACAATTTCAGAGCAATCGAAATACTTATACACAAGTTATTATCCTGAAACTAGAAAAATGCTTGTTTTGGGCCCCTAATTCCTAAACGGTTAGGACCATCATCCCCAAAATCAATCCCAACCTTCCTTTTGTGGTATTGAACCTTCTTAAAAAAATTCATAGAGATCCATTCACTTAAACTAAAGTTTAACTAAATTAAAAATTTTTTTGCGGTCATATAAAAATTACTTTGATAATTTAGAAGAAAATAAAAATTTTGCAATTTTTCCATTTATAAAGGGGCATTACTCTAGAACGGTTAAAGTGACGCCACCAAAATTTAAACTTGATCTGTGTTTTGTGGTTATAAGCATTGTGTATAAGTTTTATAACATTTGGTTGAGGCAAACTTGTTAGAGAACGGAAACTAAAAATTTTGCAATTTTTCCATTTATAAAGGGGCATAACTCTAGAACGGTTAAAGTGATGTCACCAAAATTCAAATTTGATCTGTGTTTTGTGGTAATTAGCATTGTGTATAAGTTTCATAACATTTGGTTGAGGCAAACTCAAGTTAGAGAACTGAAACCAATTTTGGGACGTACGTACGTACGTACAGACGGACAAGGGTAAAACTTAATGCCCCCGCCGTATCAAAATGATAATTTCCTGCCTTTTGGTAAACACGAATAAATCCGTAGACAAATCCGGATTCATGCTGAATTTATTATTCTCTTGTCACTTCCCATTTTCATTTCGTTTAAAATCAAAAGTAAACGTGATCTATTTTTGATTAATTTACAATATAGAGTCATTAGAATCATTCCAACAAAGATTTGTACAAATCCTTGGTTCCAAGTTTATATTGATTGATTGATTGGTGTTTGCTTTACGCTGCCTTAGCGCAAAAAGGCTATATCGCAGCGTCCAAGTTTATAGAAATGAATCCCAAATATCGATTTAAACGTTTTTACAAGATATTATGATAATGCAGCGAAATAGTCGTTACAAGTTCATGTATGCTGTGATTCCTGGTTTAAAAACTAGAGGTTCTAAAGAGCCTGTGTCGCTCACCTTGGTCTATGCATATTCCACAAAGGACACTCACCAACATTGTAGACAAGAATAGAATTCTTGACAAAAATCTCTGTTTTGTTGATCTGGTATTGCTGATCATTTTGTCATTTTAGTTTCTCTCAGCATGCTCTATCTTCTTTATTTTTGCTCAAAACACATAGAGGGTAAAAAAAAAATCCTCATTTTAAGGGCAATCACTGCTATAAAGAGTGACAGTCTACTAACTATATTAGCAAAATTTGACTTGTTAGTGGTTGTTGCCTTGCTGATCATTTTTGTGATTTAAAGTGTCTATTTATCTATCATAATTTTTATCATACAAGGCAAAATGCACAAAAATGGTAAAAATCGTCATTAAAGGGCAACAACTCCAATAAGGAATCGTCAGACGATTTCTTCCATATTGCCTTCATTGTAGATCTTGTCTTGCTGATCATTTTTGCTTATCTAAGTTTCTATCTATCTATTATAATTTTTAAGATATAATGCAAAAACGCAAATAATTGTTAAAAATCGTCATCATGGGGCAATAACTCTAATAAGGAGTCTACCGATGATTTCTATCATCAGACTTATTTGTAGATCTTGTCTTGCTGATCATTTTTGCAATTTAAAGTTTCTCTGTATCTATTAGTTTTCAAGATAATAGGCAAAAAAATGCTTCGCTGAGCGCAGTCTGATACGACCGCAGAGGTCTAACCCTGAACAGTTGGGGCAAGTTTGGACACAATATTCAAGCTTGATACTGTCTGAATTTGGATTGTGATCAAATTTTTGACATAACATAGGTTTCTGACAAAAAAATAAATGTGGTCAAAGATCTTACAAATTTGAAATGGGACATTTAATTTACCTAGAATGGTCTGATATCCAAAATCTAACAACATGGTTAGATTCAGCATATAAAAAAACACCAAAAATTAAATTTTAGTTGAAATCAAGTTTAATTTTGGACCCTTCAAACCTTAATATGGACTAATTTGAAAACAGGGCCCAAGATAAAAAATCTAATTGCACAATAAGATTCAGCATATCATATATTATACAGCCGCAATAATTCAGTTTTTGATGAAATCAAACAAAGTTTAATTTTGGACCCTTTTTGACCTCAATGTAGACCAATTTAAAAATGAGGCCCAATATCCAAAAAAGTAATACAAGGTTAGAACCCCCAAAAATGAAAGAGTTTAAATTAATCCCATTGAAATTGGTTAAAAGATTTGTATTTATTTTCAATTTTAAGATTTCTTGCTATTGCGCAATACTGTGCAATTTAAGATTTCTTGCTATTATGCAATACTGTTGCTATTGTGCAATCCTGTGCTATTGCTTAATACTCTGCAATTGAAGATTTCTTGCTATTGTGCAATACTGTGCTATTGCGCAATACTGGCCAATTCAAAATTTCTTGCTATTGCGCAATACTGTATAATTGAAGATTTCTTGCTATTGCGCAATTGAAGATTTCTTGCTATTGCCCAATACTGTGCTATTGTGCAATACTGTGCTATTGTGCAATACTGTGCAATTGGAGATTTCTTGCTATTGTGCAATACTGTGCAATTGGAGATTTCTTGCTATTGTGCAATACTGTGCAATTGAAGATTTCTTGCTATTGCGCAATACTGTGCAATTCAAGATTTCTTGATATTGCCCAATACAGTGCAATTGAAGATTTCTTGCTATTGTTAATACTGTGCTATTGCTCAATACTGTGCTATTGTGCAATACTGTGCTATTGCACATTACTGTGCAATTGAAGATTTGTTACTATTGCGCAATACTGTGCAATTGAAGATTTCTTGCTATTGCGCAATACTGTGCAATTGAAGATTTCTTGTTATTGCCTAATACTGTGCTATTGCGCAATACTGTGCAATTGAAGATTTCTTGCTATTGCGCAATACTGTGCAATCATTTGAAATTGAAAAAATTTTGAAGAAAAAAATATGAACCCCCCAAAAAAATTGAAACCTTGTAGTTCAATTTTAGAGAGATCCATCCACTTAAAAACAAATGACTGTCTGGAAACTAGAAAAATGCATATTTTTGGTCCATTTTTTGCCCCTAATTTCTGAACAGTTGGGGCAATTACCCCCCAAACTCAATCCCAGCCTTACCTTTGTGATATGGAACCTTGTGGTACAATTTCTGAGAGATTTATACACTAACACTCAAGTTATTGTTTGGAAACTACAAAAATGCTTGTTTTTGGCCCCTAATTCCTAAACTGCTCGTACCATAGCCCCCAAAATCAATCCCAACCTTCCTTTTGTGGTATTGAACCTTCTGGTAAAATTTCGTAGAGATCCATTCACTTAAACTAAAGTTATTGTCCAGAAACCAAATGTGGCTTCGGACGACCACGATGATGACACCATAACATTATACGATGCAAAAAATTTTTTGTGGTCGTATAAAAATGAAACAAGAGAGCATACACTGAAATGTCTTGCCTACTATACTGACCATTGATTTTATGTTGATACTGATAGTCCTAAATATAAAGTTTTACTACTAGTATCACATTAACATTTATGATCCAAGAAAATGAGGTCAAAGTCAGATAAACCAAGCCGGAAATACAAGTATTCCTTTAAAACAATAATTCCATACACAGAATATAGATGACCTATTGCTTATAGTATAAAAGAAATAGACCAAACCATGGAAATTTTATATTGACCAATGAACCATGAAAATGAGGTCAAGGTCAAATAAAACCTGCCAGACTGACATGTACATCCTAAAATATTTCCATACACCAAATATAGTTGATCTATTGCATACAATATTAGAATAACATACCAAAACACAATAAAATGCTCCGCAGGGCGCAGCTTGATACGACCGCAGAGTTCGAACCCTGAACAGTTGGGGCAAGTATGGACACAACATTCAAGCTTGATACAGCTCTGAATTTGGATTGTGATTAAATATTTGACACAGCATAGGTTTCTGACTCAGAATGAATGTGGTCTAAGAACTTAAAAATTTTAAATTGGACATTCAACTATTATAGTCCAATATCCAAAATCTAAATACATGGTTAGATTCAGGATATCAAAGAACTCCAAGAATTCAATTTTTGATGAAATCAAACAAAGTTTAATTTTGGACCCTTTTGACCTCAATGTGGACAAAGTTGATAATGGGGCCCAAAAAATCAAAAATTTAAATACATGGTTAGATTCAGCATATCAAAGAACCCAATATATTCAATTTTTGTTGAAATCAAACAAAGTTTAATTTGGACCCCGATTTGGACCAACTTGAAAACTGGGCCCATAATCAAAAATCTAAATACATGTTTAGATTCAGCATATCAAAGAACCCTAAGAATTCAATTTTTGTTAAAATCAAACTAAGTTTAATTTTGAACCCTTTGGACCTTAATGTAGACCAATTTGAAAACGGAACCAAAAATTTAGAATCTAAATACACGGTTAGATTCGGCATATCAAAGAACCCCAATAATTCAATTTTTGATGAAATCAAACAAAGTTTGATTTTGGACCCTTTGGACCTCAATGTGGACCAATTTAAAAAAGGGGCCCAAAATCCAAAAACTTAATACACTGTTAGATTCAGCATATTAAAGAACCCCAAGAATTCAAGAATAAAACCCCATTGAAATTGGTCAAGAAATAAGCAATTTATACGAAGTATCTTCTTTTGCACAATACTGTGCAATTGAATATTTCTTGCTATTGCGCAATACTGTACAATTGACAATTTCTTGCTATTGCGCAATATTGTGCTACTGGATATTTCTTGCTATTGCGCAATACTGTGCAATTGAAGATTTCTTGCTATTGCACAATACTGTGCAATTGAAGATTTCTTGCTATTGTGCAATACTGTGCAATTGAAAATTTCTTGCTATTGCACAATACTTATTATATAATAATTTACACATCCTGTTTGGTGTGTATCTCCTACCATATCATTATTATTTGCTTTTAAATATAAATCAGAAATAACCAACTTAAAATGGAAAATTTTAAAAGAAAAAAAAAAGGAAAAAAAGAAAAAAAAGGAAAAAAAAAAAATCCCCCCCCCCCCCCATTTTTTTGAACCCCCTTATGATTCATCACCCCCAAACTCAATCCCGGCCTTCGCTTTGTGGTATGGTACCTTGCAGTACAATTTCAGAGAGATCCATACACTTGAACACAAGTTATTGACTGGAAACTAGAAAAATGCTTGTTTTTTGGCCCCTTTTTGGCCCCAAATTCCTAAACGTTTTGGGCAATTACCCCCAAACTCAATTTCAGCTTTCCCTTTGTGATATGGAACCTTGTAGTACAATTTCATAAAGATCCATACACTTACACACAAGTTATTGTCATGAAACTAGAAAAATGCTTGTTTTTTGCCCCTTTTTGTCCCCTAATTCCTAAAATATTGAGGCAATTACCCCCATCATCAATCCCAGCCTTCCCTTTGTGGTACGGTACCTTGCAGTACAATTTCAGAGGGATCCATACACTTGAACACAAGTTATTGTCTGGAAAATAGAAAAATGCTAATTTTTGGCCCCCAATTCCTAAACGTTTCGGGCAATTACCCCCAATCTCAATTCCAGCTTTCCCTTTGTGATATGGAACCTTGTAGTACAATTTCAGAAATATCCAAACACTTACACACAAGTTATTGTCATGAAAATAGAAAAATGCTTTTTTTTTTGCCCCTTTTTTGGCCTCTAATTCCTAAAATTTTGAGGCAATTACCCCCAAAATCAATTCCAGCCTTCCCTTTGTGATATGGAACCTTGTGGTACAATGTCAGAGAGATCCATACACTTACACACAAGTTATTGTCATGAAACTAGAAAAATGCTTGTTTTTTGCCCCTTTTTGGCCCCTAATTTCTAAAATTTGGAGGCAATTACCCCCAAACTCAATTCCAGCATTCCCTTTGTGATATGGAACCTTGTGGTACAATGTCAGAGAGATCCATACACTAACACACAAGTAATGTCTGGAAGTTACAAAAAATCCATTCACTTAAACTAAATTTAGAGTGCGAAAACCAATGTGTCTTCGGACGACAACGACGACGCCGGAAATGACAACGATGACTACAACGAAGCCAACATCATACCAATATACGACCGCAAAATTTTTTTGCGGTCGTATAAAAACTTAACATTGAGCAATGAACCATGAAAACACGGTCAAGGTCAGATCACACCTGCCAGTTGGACATGCATGTACACCTTACAATCATTACATACACCAAATATAGTAGACCTATTGCTTATAGTATCTGAGATATAGACTTGACCACGAAAACTTAACCTTGTTTACTGATCCATGAAATGAGGTCGAGGTCAATTGAAAACTGTCTGACAGGCATGAGGACCTTGCAAGGTATGCACTTACCAAATATAACTTTTTTTTCAAGTAGTCACTGAACCATGAAAATGAGGTCATGGACAATGGACATATGACAGACGGAAACTTCATATCATAAGGCATCTATATACAAAGTATGAAGCATCCAGGTCTTCTACCTTCTGAAATATCAAGCTTTTAAGAAGTTAGCTAAAGCTGCCGCCGGATCACTATCCCTATGTGGAGCTTTCTGCGACAAAAGTCGCAGGCTCGACAAAAAATACGAAGTTGAAGCATTTTGCTCAAATTCTTTGAACAGGTACAAGCGAGATTTTTTAAATATTTGTATATATATAATGAATAGTGACGTCTAAATTGAAAACAACTTTCAAACCTATGATTGCGTTGGATAAAAATTGCAATTTTTATATGTGTCCATGCAAAACAAATTTCTTGTTAGAGGGGTCTAAATACAGCACAAACAAAAGACCAAAAAAGTGAATAAAATGCTCCGCTGGGCGCAGCTTGATACGACAGCAGAGGTCGAACCCTGAACAGTTGGGGCAAGTATGGACACAACATTCAAGCTTGATACAGCACTGAATTTGGATTGTAATTAAATATTTGACACAGCATAGGTTTCTGACACAGAATGAATGTGGTCTAAGAACTTCAAAATTTTTAATTTACCTATTCAAACCATATCATTATTATTTGCTTTTATATATAAATCAGAAATAACTTATTTAAAATGGAAAATTTTAAAGAAAAAAAAAAGGAAAAAAAAATCCACTTCGAAATTTGTTGAACCCCCTTATGATTCATCACCCCCAAACTCAATCCCAGCCTTCCCTTTGTGGTATGGTACCTTGCAGTACAATTTCAGAGAGATCCATACACTTGAACACAAGTTATTGTCTGGAAACTAGAAAAATGCTTGTTTTTTGGCCCCAAATTCCTAAACGTTAGGGCAATTACCCCCAAACTCAAATTTATTGTCCTGAAACTAGAAAAATGCTTGTTTTGTGCCCCTTTTTGGCCCCTTTTTCCTAATGTTTTGAGGCAATTACCCCCAATATCCATCCCAGCCTTCCCTTTGTGGTATGGTACCTTGCAGTACAATTTCAGAGAGATCCATACACTTGAACACAAGTTATTGTCTGGAAACAAGAATGAAATGCTCGCTGGGGCGCAGCTTGATACGACCGCAGAGGTCGAACCCTGAACAGTTGGGGCAAGTATGGACACAACATTCAAGCTTGATACAGCACTGAATTTGGATTGTAATTAATTATATATCATAACCCGGGCTTGACTCGGGTTAATAGTGAACCTTTTATTATGTGCCAGCCACACGCCTATTTTACAGTTGAGTGATTTTTTTGTATGTCCAGGTAGTATATAAGGCCAGGTGACCTGAGTAGTATCCTCTTTTATTTCAAGGCCGCACGCATTTAAGTACGTATCAAGCAGACCCTGTTTGATCGATACACGTGTCTATACTATAGATTTTCAAATGGCAAGGTCTCGTAGACCATCTTCTTCAGAATCTGAAGATGAAAGAAACTATGAGGAGATTATGAAGCTTTTTGCTTCCGAGGATGAGTTTGACGCAAGTTTCTCCGGGTTTTCTGAAAATATAAGTGTGAATCACGCTTCAAATACACCGGAGTGCATTCAGGTTTTAGATAAACCGGATATAGATTCTATTTCACAAACTGTGAGTACAAACGTAAAAACTAATAAGAAAACAGTGGTTGTGCCTACAGAAAAAGGACCTGGAAAAGGTCCAGGCAAAAATAAGAAAGGCAAAGCACCTTTGAAAAGAAGTATTCAAATTACGCAGGACGAACCGTCCGCTAGCTGTAGTAAGCCAAAGGCTCCCAGAAAAACTTCTAAAAGTAAACAAGCTCAAGCCGAGCAAAATGAGTTACTGAAACAATTATTTGCTGACTTATCTAGTAATATTGTGTCTGCAATAAATGTCAATAGTAGTGGTACTGCAGGTCCAAGTAGTGACTCCCATAGTTTTATACAGGAACTTGAAGATAATGACATTAATGAGGTCGAAAATGACCAAAATGTTTTCAATTTGTTTGAAACTGATGATTTGTCTGAACATGAGAGTAATGTTGATCCCACACAACTTGTCGTTGAAAGTGAAGACGAGGAGTTTGATTATGAAATGCCAAAAATTTTTGAGGACGATGAACGGTTTGATTCTGAGGTCAGCCCTTCGATAGCATCAGTCATAGAAAAAATTTGTAAGAAAAAGTCGGATGTTACATCTTTGACTAAGGATAGCAAGATACCTAGCAATTGTAAAGCTTTAGTACCACCACCTGTCAACCCAGAAATTTGGCAATTTTTAGCCCGTAGAGCTAAGACTGAGGATTTGATTTCTCAGAATATTCAAAAGCTAACAGGGGCAGGCATGGTCCCTTTGATTAAGGTGGCGGAATTATTACGAGGGAAAAATCCTTGTATTAAGACAATGAGAGAGTTAATTTCAAGAGCTATTTCTATACACTGTAATTTGCATTTTGAGCTATCTATTAAAAGGAGAATGAATTTGAAGCCTCATATTGAACGTAAATTCCATCAATTGTGTAACAGAAATGAGGTCGTGGGTGAAAAACTCTTTGGAGATGATATTAGTAAAAGACTTCGGGAGATTAATGATGCACAAAAGATAAACAAAACTTTCAGTTCAAAAAACTACAGAGGCCGATCCTATCGGCGAGGGTACCGGTTTGGTATGTCAAACCCAAGAGGCAATTTCAGAGGGCAGAGCCGCTACCCAAGAGGGTCATACAGGCAACCCATGATGAATTCTCAATACAGAAGAAAAAATTGAAGGTTGGTATTACATGTAAACATGTTGAAAAAGTTGGCTTAAACATTGGTAAATTAAAATATCATATTAGAAATTGGAAAAAATTAACATCAGATAGTTGGGTATTAGAAACAATTACTGGTTACAAAATAGAATTTGATGAGATACCAGTTCAGAAAATAATTCCAAGACCTATAAAATTTAATAAAAATGAGGAAAGACTAGTTGATACAGAGGTATCTGATATGTTAAAAAAGGGAGCAATTAAAATTTCACACCATGAGAAAGGTGAATTTATTTCAAATCTCTTTCTTGTAAAAAAGAAAAATGGAACATTTAGACCAGTTATTAACCTGAAAAAATTAAACAGTTATATTCAGTATTATCATTTTAAAAAAGAAACTCTTGAAGTTATTTTGAAAAGCATCTCTAGAAATGCATTTTTTACAAGCCTGGATTTGTCCGAGGCATATTGGTCTGTAGCGATACACGAAGACAGTAAAAAGTATTTGAAATTTATGTGGAATAACAAATTATATAATTTTGAATGTCTCCCATTCGGAATAGCTTCGGCTCCAAGAATATTTACAAAAATCATGAAAGTGGTATTTTCACATGTGAGACAGTTAGGCATTAGTTCTTTCTTTTATATTGATGATTCCCTATTACAAGCATTTTGTTTCGAACAAGCAAAAAGAAACACACATTTTGTAAATGATTTAATAGAATCACTAGGTTTTTCAATAAATATAGAGAAATCAAATTTTATACCTTCACAAAGAACAATGTTTCTGGGATTCATTATTGATTCAGTTTTGTTCAAGGTATTTTTACCAGAAGATAAAATACAAAAAATTATAGAAATTTCATACAAAGTGTTTGAAAGGAAGATTACACAAATTCGTACGGTTGCCCAATTAATTGGGTTATATTCTTCATCTTATCATGCAATTACACTTGCACATTTACAGCATAGATATTTGGACATTGACAAAACAAAAGCTTTACAAAAATCTTTTAAAAATTTTAATGCTCATATGTCTTTGTCGGTGGAGAGTAAAAATGAGATTTTATGGTGGATTCAAAATATTAAAAAAGAAAATGGTTGTCCAATTCGACAAGAGCCTCCAAAAGTTTATTTACAAACTGATGCGTCGTTGATAGGTTGGGGTGCAGTATTTGAGAAAGATTGTACCCAAGGTAGATGGAATATAGATGAATGTCAGAATCATATTAATGTGTTAGAATTAAAAGCAATAATTTTGGCATTGCAGGCTCTTTGTAGATCTGTTAAAGATTGTCATATTTGTGTTAGAACAGACAGCGCAGTAGCAGTTGCATACATCAATAATCAAGGGGGATCAATATTATCACTTTTAAAACTTGCAAAAGAAATTTGGTTTTGGAGTACTGAAAGAAAAGTATTTATATCTGCGGTACATATCCCAGGAAAACAAAATATACAACCAGATAATTTATCTAGACAATTTAATGATTCTTCAGAGTGGAAACTAAATAGTTCAGTTTTTGAAAAAGTGACTTTAAGTTTATTTAACCCAGAGATTGATTTGTTTGCGTCTCGTTTAAACAAACAACTGCCAAAGTATGTTAGTTGGTTTCCTGATCCAGAAGCTTATGCTTCAGATGCATTTTCTCTCTCTTGGAGTAATTTATTACCATATATTTTTGCTCCTTTCAGTCAGTTGCCAAGAGTCCTACAGAAAATAGAAGAGGACAAGGTAAGGAAGGCATTAATTAT